TCCTGGAACCCTGAATGCCCAGTTAAAAACTACTGGTAAAGACTATAGCCCAAAAACAAGCATTGAAGCCCAGAAAGTAAACTTAATTTATTTTATTATTATTATAATTATTTGGGTTTTTTTCTGACAGTAAGGTGCGTGTGCTCACTGGAGGGAGACAGAAAGTGATAGTGAGAAATCAGAAATCACCCGTAGGGGGATGGCCATGCCACCATCACTTCTCCTCCATCCTCCTCTCGGGATTTGGGGCATGCATGCACACATGCCTGGCGCGTTTTTCAGACCACCAGTTCTGGGATTCAAGCCATGGGGTGGGTAGGACACGTGGGATCTACTTAACCACTACACTACCTGCTGGCCCCAGAAAACATAATAACTTTATTTTAATAGTTCTGATACAATTTAAAAGATAAAATAGTTCCATTGTTTTTCCTTTATGGAAAATATTTCCTGTGAAATTCATTTCTGCAGAGAAAATGTTGTTTTTCATTTATTTCAGTGGTATAGCACTATAGAAAAATACCCACAATATAATGAGCTGAAAACATTTGGTAAGGAGAGCATTCAGACCACACGCTCATGGCTCAGGGCTCTAACTTTCCCTAAGAAAGTAAGAGGAGAGCAAGTTGAGAACATGTCGCATAGAAATGAGCTTCCAGGCACTTCCTGTGTTCGTCCTTCATAGAGCAAGCGGGCTGCCTTAAGTCGCTTGGTGCAGTTTATGCTCTCCCTTATCATTTCTGTCTCAGTAAATGGCAACTTCATCCTTTCAGTTGCTGAAGCCAATGAACTGGGCTTTTCCATTCTCACAGCTCGCATCCGCCCGTCCGCAGATCCTGTCAGCGTTGCCTTCAGCTGGGTCGGCCTCAGATCCTTGTCACATGTCTGTCATTTTGTCTTTTAACCTTTCATTTCCCGAGAAATGCTGTAGTAGTACCAAGTACTTTAAATTATCATATACTGGTGGAATCTTAGAGATTGTCTTACTTTAATTTCTTTGGTAAATAAGGAAACTAAAGCCCCGGGACCAGCAGGTAATATCATGGTTAAGTTGTTGGACTCTCACATGGTCGACTGCAGTTCAAGGTCTGGACGTGTGTGTGTGTGCATGTGCCCAAAATCCTTAGAGGGGAATGGAGGAGAAGAGATTGTGGCATGGCCTTCCACCCTGGAGGGTGATTTCTCGCTTTCTTTCTCTCTGTCTCTCTCTGAATCTCCAGCAAACACATTTACTCTATAGTAAAAATCTTTCCGAAGGAAGGAAGAAACTAAAGTCCCAGCCCTTGACAGAGTCATGTGGTATGTTCAGATCTTACATTAGTAAATTTGGAATTGGAACTGTGAAAGCCAGGGTTGCATTTCCACTGTAGTTCCACTGTGCCTACAAAGCAGACTAATTGGCTGTGATCTTTGATACAAAGGTAATGTCATGGGACCAACAGGTAGTGTAATGGTTATATGGCTGGACTCCCGTGTAGTCGACTGCAGTTCAAGTCCCAGACCTGTTCAGTTGAAACTCACACCAGGCACGTGTGCGTGCATGCCCAAAATCCCGAGAGGAGAATGGAAGAAAAAGGATTGTGGCATGGCCATCCCCTCTGAGGGTGATTTCTTGCTTATTGTCTCTCTGTCTCTCTTTAACTCTCTGGCGAATGCACATGCCCTATAGCAAAACTCTCAAAACAAAAAAAGTAATGTCATTAGATCTTTTGTCAAGCATTTTACAAAACTGTTTGACAAACTTCTTATGAAC